AGACCTGGCTTTTCTCCCAGGCGCTGGGATAAGATTGGATAATTGCCCATTAGGACTTGACTTGGCACCAGATCCTGGTTGTTTTTAATGTTTTGATCTGTTTAGTTCATAGTTTTAACATGATTTTATATGTTTTAACTTTTAATTGAGAGCTGCTGAAAGTTGGTTAGAAGATAATAATAATAATAATAATAATAATAATGATAAAGTTGGAAGGGACCTTGGAGGTCATCTAGTCCAACCCCTTGCTCAGGCAGGAAACCCTATACCATTTCGGACAGTAATACCCCAATCAAGAAATCGCCAAAGAAGCCAACAGTAAACAGCCCAACCAAACAACCTCTAAGATCACTCCCACCAACACTGACAGGGGCAAGAAACTAGAATATAAACTGACAGTAAACCCCACTGCTCACTAGTGTTGATATTACCTAGTCTGAGTAATAAAAATCTGCACAAAAATCACCAAGCTCAGAGAGTACCAAGGACCTCTAATTTTAACCCTACTTATAAATATTCTTTATTAGTACTAAAAGGGTCAGGAAGGAGAAACACCTCATGGGCAGCTAGACACATGTTTTAAATAAATAAATTACATAAAAGTTATATTCACCATATGTGTAATTTCATAGATCTTAATTTTATTACTTTCAGGTTAAAATGGGCCTGTTAATAGACTTGACAAACACCAGTAGGTTCTATGACCGAAGTGATGTAGAAAAAGATGGCATCGTATATGTAAAGCTTCAGTGTAAAGGGTAAGCTAATGAGACTTCTGAATATTGTTTTGTGGAGGAAAATCCTTGCCTTTACTTGACTCTTCTCTTCTTGATAGGCACGGAGAGTGTCCCACTCCTGAAAACACAGAAACATTCATCCGTATATGTGAACAGTTCCGTAATAAGAACCCAACAGAACTTATAGGTATGTATATTAACCTACTATGTGACTGTTTTCCATCTGTCTTGGTTGCTTTTCCATGTAATATACTTAATGCTCCATTTGCCGGTCTCCATTGTAGTTGTGCATAAACATTTCACAACTTAATCATCCAGCCAGCATCGAATCATGACAGCGAGCAATAGAACCAAAAAACTCGAAATAGGATGAAATACCAGGATGTTGGAAATAAACATTCCTGAATGATGTTTGTAAAAAGGGCCAAGCCTGAATGACTGTCATGAACTGTAATTAGTTTTCCATTCATCTAGATAAATTACACAGCATATTGCTATCACCAATGCCTTGCTGAACAGGGAAGTATCAAGATGAAATCAAAGCTGAAATCCAAATAATTTAATTGGAGAGTTAAGTCTTGACCTATTGTTGGGGGGTCATAGAGATGATCATGAAAAAGGTATTCAGAAGCGATTAGGACAAGAGATGTAGAAGAAGCATGCATGAAACCTGAATGGACGGGTGGAGGTGGGGGAAGTATTAGAAAGAGGCACAGACTGCCTCCACCCTAACCCTTTGAAGGAGAAGAGGGAGGGAAAGGGAAAACTCAAGTAAACTTGCTAGAGTCTATTACTGTGACCTGTCTTAATAAAGTATAGTTTTAGTGGTCTTGTAAAATCAGTTTCTTCATCTGTCTGTCTCATAGGGCTGACACACACATCAACTTTGAAATTTATTACAGGTCTTTTTTTTCATCACTTGATTATGCTGGACTTGTACAAAAACTAAAGTTAACAGAGAAGTGTAATGATCTGGAATAAATATTATTATGGAAATGCCTCATTGAATTGCATACTCCTTTTTAATATTAATTACCTTCTTTACCGTACGGCATTTATTACAGTGCAATGCCGAATGCTGATTGACATTGCTAAACAATGTGGTCACTTGGCTTTTCTCATTTAACAACCACATTGCTTAACAGAGTTTCCGGTCCCAATTAGCATTATTAAACAAGAGCTATTTTACTTATATACCACATGATTTATTTATGTGGTTATGTACAAGTGTCTAGCTTTCTTGAAGAGAGGCCAAAATGATTGTATCAGTAGCCTATTAAATTCTTCATTTAATTACCAAAAGAAAATTTAGTCTTAATGTTTGATCCTGTTGTTTAGCGCATTATAACCTGCATTCCAATTTTGATTATGAAGTCTTGAACAGATGTTAACTATTTTAGGAAACTGTTTTTCAGGTATATCAACAATCTGTCTGTTTGTCTTTATGTATATCTCACCTTAATTTTTTTTTATAAGTAATTTAAGGCAGTGAACATGCCAAGTATTGCTTCCTGTTCCTATTCTCTCCGCAACAACCACTCTGTGAGGTGGAGCTGAGAAAGCGTGACTGGTCCAAAGCCATCCAGTTGGCTTTCATGCCTAAGGCAGGATTATATCTCACTGTCTCCCAGTTTTTAGTTTGGTACCTTAACGAGTAGACCAAGCTGGCTCTCTACAAATATATAGTATGTGATATTTGCTTGTGTATAAATAAATAAGATTCAAAATAAAGATATATGAGTACAAGATTATTCATTTTTTACTTTCATTATATAGCTTTATTAGTTCCTACTTGTAGCCGAAACACAAGCAGCAGAAATAAAGGATTAAAAAAAAAAATCTGTTCAAGCAGCAAGATTAAGGGAGCTTCCATTTCAATTGTCTTCATTTGGATTGTTAAACATATTTGTCAAATTCCGAATGATGCCTACATTTAAATATTTTCTTTCAAGTGAAAAGAAAATGGACTCTGTTTTATTGTGGAAAACCTGGGTTAAACTTTATACAGGTCATCCTCAAATTATGATCACAACTGAGCCCAAAATTTCTGTGGCTACCATAGGTGAAGCATTTGTTAAGTGAATTTTGCCCTATTTTATGATTTCTTGCCACGGTTGTTAAGCAAATCACTGTAATTGATAAGTTAGTAACACAGTTGTTAAGTGAATCTGGTTTCCCCATTGACTTTGAGGTCGCAAAAGGGGATCACATGGCCTCTGGACACTGCAACTGTCATAAGTACATGCCAGTTGCCAAATATCTGAATTCTGATCATGTGATCATGGGGACACTGCAATAGTCGTAAATGTGAAAAATGGACATAAGTCACTTTTTTCAGTCACGTAACTTTGAATGGTCACCAAATGAACCATTGTAATTCGAGGACTACCTGTATGGATTTTTTTTATTTAGTCTTCTGTGTATATTGCTTTATCATAAGCATATGCATTGTATTAAAATAACTAATGAACACCCATAAAATTTGACAAAGAAGCATCAATAAACCGTGAATGATTCAAGCTCTAGCAATTGAAGTCAAGGGACACAGAGGGAAAATAGTACTATAATGAAATATGAAGAAGACCAAGCTAATGACAAGCCCAGCAAACCAATGTTAGAATAGAAGAAGTTGAAGAGATGGATAGTTTCTGTCTTTCAGGATTGGCTAGCAGTGTAAAGGAACAAGAAATCAACAAGTCTGCTGTTGACCAGCATGTAGTGTGGGGTAGCACTAAAAGCCTTGGAAAATGTACATGGATACCATCTGTGCTAACAAAGATTGTTATCAGGCAGACAACGAAGTAAAAGATGAAGAGACTAGGTAACCACCGTGAGAGCCTTTTCAACTTGATTGTTAGGGAAGACTCTTGAAAATAGCATTCATAGTCCAGAAAACAAATGGGATGGATCATAGGACAGTCCAGAGGTCTCATTTGAAACACAAATGACAGTTCAAATCCCCCAAAATTTGGACCTAGTATGTGAAGGCCTAGCTCTCTTGAGAAGTCTGTAATGCTGGGAAAGGTAGAGTGAAAGAAGATGACCAACAGCAAGATGGATGGTTTCAATTACTGGGTGCACATTTAAAGACCTGGAGGGCAGGTGGGGAACAGGTAATCTTGGAGCAGATCTATCTAGTTCAGGGGTCTTCAAACTTGGCCCTTTTATGACTTGTGGACTTCAACTCCCAGTTGCTGGCTGAGGAATTCTGGGAGTTGAAGTCCACAAGTCATAAAAGGGCCAAGTTTGAAGACCCCTGAGCTAGTTGCTAAAACTCAACACCTAGTTCATGGCACATAATCAAATTGAGCTAATTTAGACAGAGTTGGGAGTTTCAAAACTAATGCAGAGTCTTAATTATTCCAGTATTGAAACATTATGAAAATCGTGGAAGACAGTGCTCCCGAGCAAACTTATTTGCTCTTATGAGTTGCTGTCCAGAATAACTGTAAGCGATATTACAGAATATTCCACTGTTTGACAGCCTCATTTGAATTTTAAAACCTGTGAACTGGATACTTTGATGTATTTTTTAAGCATTGCTTTTTTTTCTTGGCCACTAGATGGAGACATTACCACAGAAATAAGGCAGAGGTGTTTTGGGGGCTTTTTATTTTAAAGTGCTACTGGTTCATTATTTTAATTCAGGGACCTTCAAACTTGGCCCTTTTATGACTTGTGGACTTCAAAGCTGGCTGAGGAATTCTGGGAGTTGAAGTCCACAAGTCATAAAAGGGCCAAGTTTGAAGACCCCTGTTTTAATTGAATGCTGTCTTTAGAATGTTCTTATAACAGTTGCTGGTTGCTGATGTGCAATCAGTTTTAAGCTGTATTAAAATAGAAGCTAGTGAGAGAAAAATCCTGTGAGAACAGGAGAGCCCTGAGGCCCATCTATTCCAGAAATATGGCCCTCAATAGTAACTGGTTTCTGGCAATCCTGTAAGACTTAGGTGAAGCAGTAGCCCTCATTTCAGCAATTAATACCAAGATGAAAGTGTGTGCTCCTTTGAATCCAGAATAGCTGCTGAATATACTTTCTTCCCATAAACTGCCTGATGCTCTTTTTTGTGCTATGTAGGCAACAATTGTGAGTATTGTTAATTAAGTGTCCTATGAAGAATTTTTCCCTTTATGTTGCAACAGTAGCATTTTGTCCCTGTGTAAGTTGGACTAAACAGCTTGTTAATGGCTAGCCTCTTGAGTGCCGGTAATCAGGATGGATCATAAAATAAAACCTGACAGTAAACAATAACAGATAGAGGCAAGAAGAAGCTACTGTGCCAGGAAAGAATTTTCTTCTCCAGATCCTTACGAGAAAGAAGATGGTGGTGGTGGATGAGAACCAGAAAGTACAGGATATCCGTTGCCTCAGTTTAACGGTGTGGAAAGGTGGTGGACTCAAGCTCTGATGATGTTAAAAGAAATACCTTTATATTTGGGTATGTCTAGTTTAATGAAGAGAAGGATGAGGGGGGACATGATAGCAGTGTTCCAATATCTCAGGGGCTGCCACAAAGAAGAGGGAGTCAAGCTATTCTCCAAAGCGCCTGAAGGCAGGACAAGAAGCAACCGGTGGAAACTGATCAAGGAGAGAAGCAACCTAGAACTAAGGAGAAACTTCCTGACAGTTAGAACAATTAACCAGTGGAACAACCTGCCTCCAGAAGCGGTGAATGCTCCAACACTGGAAGTTTTTAAGAAGAGACTGGACAGCCATTTGTCTGAAAGGGAATAGGTTCTCCTGCTTGAGCAGGGGGCTGGACTAGAAGACCTCCAAGGTCCCTTCCAGATTCTATTCTATTCTATTCTATTCTATTCTATTCTATTCTATTCTTTCACATAAATAAGTGCATTTTTTCCCTTTCCTGGTTTCAGTTGCTAAATTTGTTCAGTTGTCTATGGTTCAATCAGATATTTAAAGCCATTGATACAGTTATTTATATGCAAAGTTTTGGTATGAATGGAAGATTATGTGACTTTGTCAGAAGTTTCTTTAGAGAAGTATACATTCATTCAAAGGAATATGACAACTCAGCAAGTATACTATATTGTATTGAAAAAACAGACTATTGTCCTGGCTTTCCCTCCTAAATGTGTATATGCAAAATATAATGAATATTTTTTTTCCAATTCTGATAGAAATATTCTTAAAATGTATTCAGAAACTTACAGTATATATATTTTTTTCTTCATGGGTCAGTAGCTAGTGATATTTGCTGTCACTTTAGAGCTAGAGAACGATGATTGAAAAATGGTTGGAAAAATGCCTTCCATATTCATAGATTGCCCTCAATCCCTAGTTTTGTTTTGAATGTGCAAAGCAAAGAACTGAGATGTTTGCTTATTTGAGGAAGTGTTTATATGATCGGCCCTGTTCATGCTCTAATTTCCTCTTGGAGAGAAGAAAGAAGTAGATGGTATGAGAAGAGATGAATTATCACCTAATTCTACTATGTGAGGACTAATTCCCTTGTAAGAGGAGTGATTCTGACAATCAGGAGTGATCCTGATGCTTTTAAGTGAGCTTGGAAATTGCAATTATATTTTTTTCTTCAATTTTTGTCTTCTAGGTGTTCACTGTACACATGGTTTCAATCGTACTGGATTTCTTATCTGTGCCTTTCTGGTTGACAAGTTGGATTGGAGGTAATTAGTTTTTTAAAAAAGACGACACTTTTTGGCAATATAGCAATAATAGCATAATGACATTATTTTACATAGGTCATCGATGTCATCAATTATGGATATTTTTTACTATGTCTTGATAGTGGGGTATACAAATTAAAGTGGCTATAAAACATAATAAAAGTAAGGAGTCCCTGTGAATTTTACTCTGTTAGTCATTGCTGACTACAGGTGGCAGTGCTCATCTCTGTTTCAAGGGCATTGAGCCAGTCCTGTCTGAAGACATTTCCATGGTCATGTGGCCAACATGATGTCACTGTTACTTTCCGATGGAAGTGATACCTATTTATTTACTCGCATTTGCATGCTTTTGAACTGCTAAGTTGGCAGGAGCTGAGGAAAGTAACAGGAGCTCACCCCGTCCTGTGGCGCTTGGGTCTGGAACCTGGGCTGCCAGCTTTCCTGCCGACAAGACCAGCGTCTTAACCACTGAGCCACTGCACCGCCCCATAAAAACATAATATTTTGTGTTATATATTATCTGCCAACTTTCCAGGAGGCAAAATAATATTTCTAAATATTCTTTGGTGGATTTTTATTATTGCCAGATAGAAATATTTAGATTAATTTATTTCAAGACCGATCTGAACTTTTAGAAAAAGTTTGAACTGTTTCAGATGTTCTGAAGGTAATTAATTTTGATTTGATGTCTGTTTTGGGGTTGAAATTTGAAAAAAAAAACCCTTTCTCCTTAGTTTACCTTTATTATTGCTATTGCTATTAACTGTGTGCTATGAAACTTGATCAGATTCATGATGGCTTACATTATTTTTTTCCCCCAACAACTTTATGAATTTCATGAACTATTCATAAACTTTTGTCATATACCAGGAGAGTGAATGACAGTATAATGAAGAAGTGATAAAATTAAACACTGAGTTCTCTTTCCCTTCTAGAAATGCTGCAGTTAGGGCAATAAATATTTCATAGAAAAGCAGACTTTTGTCAAAAAACATAAATGTTTCTACTTTCTCTTCTCTCCAGTCTCTACAGGTAGTTCTTGACTTATGACCACAATTGAGCCCAAACTTTCTGTTGCTAAGTGAGACAGTTAAGTGAATTTGGACCCATTTTACGACCTTTCTTGCCACAGTTGCTAAGTGAATCACTGCTCTTGTTATGTTAGTAACACGTTTGTTAAGTGAATCTGGCTTCCCCATTGACTTTGCTTGTCAGAAGGTTACAAATGTTGATCACGTGACCCCAGGATACTGCAGTGGTCATAAATATGTGTCAGTTGCCAAGCGTCTGCATTTTGATCACATGACCGTGGAGATGCTAAACGGTCCTAAGTGTGAAAAACGGTCACCGGTCACTGTTTTCAGTGCCGTTGTAACTTTGAACGGTCACTAAATGAATTGTTGTAAATTGAGGACTACCTGTAGTTCTATACATGTTCGCATCAAAATGACATGGTCATTTTGCTTTATTCCCATAATTTGAACTTTGGCCCAATCCGACATATCCTGTAGATTTTAGAAAACAATGTTTTGTGACTTTTCGAACTTGGTGAATGCTATGTCGTTTCTCCTTTGTTCTTCTTTTAAGCAAGCAAAGCATTAAGACCGGGGGTCTTCAAACTTGGCCCTTTTATGACTTGTGGACTTCAACTCCCACTATTCCTCAGCCAGTGTGCCATGCTGGCTGAGGAATCCTGGGAGTTGAAGTCCACAAGTCATAAAAGGGCCAAGTTTGAAGACCCCTGATCAAGACAAAAACTAAAAAATAAAATAAAAACAAAAACCCTGCATAAGGTAAAAAGAAAATAAAACCAAGAAAAGCCCATTAAAACAACCCTCAGCGTACAATGATCTAGAGATGATTTTAAGGAGACATGCAAACATTTTACATATCCATAAAAAGTATTCTTCAAGAGCCAGTTTGATGTAGTGGTGAACGCATCAGGCTAGGAATCGGGAGACCCCGAGTTCTAGTCCTGCCTCAGGCACAAAGTCAGCTGCGGTGACCTTCCTTTGAAAGAAGTGCATTGCAATGTGCGGGATGTGTAAGAAGTCTTTGAATCATTAAATCAGCCAGATCTTTTTCTGGGCTTGTGGAGCTGCTGCTTGTGGCATATTAAATATTAACGTGCTTTATTTTGGCATAAATGGACTGGAGGATATTTCATCAGAAATTTGAAGTATAATATTAAATTGGCAGGCATATAATGGGGGGGGGGAAGGAAGGGTGAAAATGGATAATTACATGAGAAAGAAGGGCGACTGTTTTTAATAGTGGCTGCATGACAGATTGTAGGAGGAAGCAAGGTCAGTTATGCATGTGCATATGCTTTCATAACTCTGTCATTAGCATGATAAAAGATGTGGCTGCTTTCAAGATGCAAAGAGAGATGCTTATTATGCCCTCATG